TCAACAAGCATTTATTAATCAACTACCATGTGTCAGGCACTGTGCTGGGGATACAGGGAAAGGCAGCTGTAGTCCCTGTCCTCAAGGAGCTCACAGTCTAATGTGAGAGGCGACATGTAATCAACTATGTACAAACAAGATATATCGAGGATAAATTGAAGATAATCTCAGCAGAATGGCAGTAGCATTAAGGGAAGAGACTAGGAAGGGCTTCTTCCAGAAGGTGAGATTTTAGCTGAGACATGAAGGAGGCTAGGAATGACAGCTGAGTGGAGGATAGAGTGGAGTAGGGAGAAAGTTGAGGTAGGGAGACCAACTGGAAGGTTATTACAGTAGTTAAGGTGTGAAATGATGAAGGCCTGTACTAGAGTGGTTTCAGCATCAGAGAAGAGAAGGGGGCATACACAAGGGATGAAGAATTGAGGGACCTGACAACTGATTGGATATGGCAAGGGAAAGGGGTCAGAGAGAGTTAGAAGCTGAGGATGACACAAATTAGGGAAGATAGGAAGAGGGGAAGTTTGGGGGAGGTAAAGATAATGAGTTCAATTTTGGATATATTAAATTGGAAGATTTGAGACTGGAGTAGAAGAGAGAGTTTAGGGCTAGAATAAATAGATCTCAGAATCATCTGTACAGAGATGATAATTGAATTCATGGGAGCTGATGAGATTGCCAAATGAAAAGGTATAGAGGGAGAAGAAAAGAGGGTCTAGGACAGAGCCTTGCTGGACATCCAAAGTTAGAGGGACTGTAAAGTCTGGATGAAGATCCAGCAAAGGACACGGAGGAGAAGTCAGACAGATAGGAGAACCAGGATAGAATAATGTCACAAAAACTTAAAAGAAAGAAAAGAGTGATTAACAGTGTCAAAGGTTGCAGAGAGGTCATGAAGGATGAAGATTGAAAAAAGGCTATGGGATTTAGTGATTAAGAAATTATTAACTTTGTACAGAGCACTTTCAATTGAATGATAAGGTAGGAAGCCAGCATGCTGAGAGTTAAGAAGAGAGTGAGAAGAAAGTGGAATCACTGATGGTAGATGGCTTTCTCAAGGAGTTTAGCCATGAAAAGGAAGAGAGATCTAGGATGATAACTAGTAGAGATGGATGATTTTTTTTTTTTGAGGATGGGGATATCTCCACAACATCTCTTGAATCTGTCCTCTTTTCTCTATTCATATGGCTACCACCCTAGTTCAAACCCTTGTTATCCGAATTGTTGCAATAACCTTCTAATTGGTTTCCTTGCTTCAAGTCTCTCCCCTCTCCAATTCATCCTCCACAAAACTGTCAGTTATTTTCTTCAAGCAAAGATTTGATCTTGTCATCCCCTTACTTAATGAACTGGAATGGCTCTTTCTTATTTCTTCTAAGCTCAAAGATAGTTTCTTTTGTTTGTCATTCAAAGCTATCACAATCTCCCAAGCCTAAAATTCATTCCCTTCTCACCTCTGCTTCTTAGAAACAAGTTTTCTTCAAAACTCAGCAAAGTCCACCTGAATGAAATCCTTCCTGATCTCCCCAGCTGCTAGTGCCTCCTCCCCCAATGCCTTGTATTTCTTTTGCAGTAATTTTGTTTATACTTATGAGAGAGAATGAATAGTTCTTGAAAACTCAGTTCTTAGTCACAGAGCAGGGGCCAAAATGGAGGTCAAGTGTTCCCTTTATGAAGTTCCATTTATCACTCAAGTGAATCAGATTGGATAAGATGAAGAATGATAGGCCAAGTCTCAAGGTCATCTTTAAAAGTCAGGACCTGAGCTTCTGACTGGAGGAGCAGAAGAATCCTGGAGCTGAAGAAATAGAAGCTGTAAAAATCCAAGTGAAAGGAAGGAGAAGGGAATAAGCATTGACATAGTGCCTAATATGTTCCAGGTTCTGAGCTAAGCACTTTGTAGAGGCAGTCAATAGGAAAGGGTTGATCAGGCATGAGGTATGTCAAGATAGAAGTTTAGAAACTGTGTTGCTAGAAAACTCCCCTGTTAACAACTATCTTGGAGGTTAGAAGAAATAGGGAGGAGCCATTCCAGTTTACTAAGTAAGTGAAGGATTTGATGACGTAAGCTTGTAGGAAACCTAGTCAGTATTTTCCCGTGATGTTTCATAGAAATATTCAGTAGCTGGTGAGTGTAAATGGAGAAGGATGGTAGAAGTAATCCCTTATATATTGGTTTTGGCACCATATAACCAATGAAAGGACAAGAAGACAAAGGATTCTAGATTAGATGATATACAGTTGAAGTGGTCAAACTTGGGGTTGAATCGTTCAGTCATCTAGCATTTATTTACCTTGTACTAGACAATGTGATGAAAAAGTAAGGAAATTGAAGTCAGGATGATGGATTAAGAGGATAAAGATGCAGTGAGTGGTGGTAGTGGTAGAGGAGGGACAACAAGTCATGATGAGCACAAAGGCTAGGTATTAGAGGAGCGACTCAGAACAAGAGATGGAAAGATAGGAGTCTGAAAATAGGAAGTTGCGGGGGTCAGCTAGGTGGTACAGTGGATTAGAACACCAGCCCTGGAGTCAGGAGGACCTGAGTTCAAATCTGGCCTCAGACACTTACTAGCTATGTGACTCTGGGCAAGTCACTTAACCCCTGATTGCCTCTAAAAAAAAAAAACCAACCCAAACCAACAAAAGAAAGAAAATAGGAAGTTGGAAGTTCAGAGTCAGGGAGTTTTAATACATTTGTTTGACCCTTCCTGTGGTGTGTATGAAGGGGAGTGAAGATGAAGAGTATGGGTGTTAAGGAGGCTAATGATTTGGGAGATTACCATGCTCAAAAGGACATCAACATTCATGTTGAAGTCCCCAAATATGAAGTCAAGAGTTGGGATGAACAATCAATCAACAATAATTTATTATCTATTATGTGCCAGGTATCCTGTTAGGCATTAGGCAGGAAGTATATCCTTATATACTATTGTTAAATGCTCTTTCCCTCCCAGTTGGAATATCCTTCTCTCTCCTCACCCCCTTTAATAATCAATTACTTTACAGGGAACTGCTATTAACAATTTCTGTACTCCACCATTACTGTATCCTTCCTCCAACTACTTTTTTCAACCCATTCCTTTTTAATATAGGTATATACTCTTCTGGGCAGTTGGTGATAAGACTGAAAGGTGTGGTGGGGAAGAGGCCATTCTCAGTCAAATACACACATTAAATAAGGGGTAAATAGAGAAAATTGACTTGGTTAGAGTTCCATTTTTTTACAGTACTGAAAGATGAGGTTGCTGAGATACAGTTTGGGAATACTTGAATTTCTGGCTGAGTTTATGTTAGAAAGACATCATTTTGTCCTTGTTGAATTCTGCCTTTTACATACATATATATCAACTCCCCCCCAATAGACTCTAAATTCCTTGAAGACAAGGACTGTATTTTAATTTTTTTTCCACCTTTGTTTCCTCAGTATCTAGCACAGTGATTTAAGATAACCAGGTGATATGGTGGAGAGAATTCTGGACTTGGAGTCTGGAAGATCTGCCTTTGAATCCTGCCTCAGACACTTACTAGCTGTGTGACTTGGGCAAGTCACTTAACCTCAGTTTGCCTCAGGTCTCTCATCTGTAAAATGGGAATAATAATAGCACCTACCTCAGAGAGTTGTTTTGAGGATCAAAAATGATATATACGAAGTACCTTTGCAATTTTTAAAGTGCTTTATCAGTGCTCCCATCTGCCATACATATGTTGAATTTTGCAAGGCAATAAGGAATCGCTTTTCTGAAGGTGCTGAGAACTGGAATTTTTCTAGACATTTCTGAATGATGATCCTTTAGCTGGTCCCTAGACCTCACTTTTCTTCTGTTCTCTCTCTTTCAGGGGGAGACGTCACCATCACTGACCTGCCTCTGGCCCTGGAGCAGATTCAGGGAAATGTTCAAGCTAACATACCAGTTGGTGGCCGGGCACAGGTCCGAGCTTTGGCCTGGGGGCTAGACCAGGGTGTGTTTCCTGAAGACTATGACTTGGTGTTAGGGGCTGATATCGTGTATCTGGAGCCCACCTTTCCACTGCTCCTGGGCACCCTAAAACATCTCTGTGGACCGAATGGCACCATCTATCTGGCCTCCAAGATGAGGGAAGAGCACAGGACGGAGAGTTTTTTTTACGATATGTTACCCCAGCATTTTCAGCTGGAGCTGGCACAGCGGGATGAGGAAGAGAACATTAACATATATAGGGTTACACACAGGGGAGGCTGAAGGCTCCCCTGTGCCTCCACATCCAGTTCTTCCTCGCTTCTGACCACACACATTCCTCTGATCAGTCCTCTTCTTGGTATTGGAAAGAGGTGAAGAGTATTAGCATATAGAGACCCATGCATAATGACCAAACATGGCTGATTCCTGGATCCTGGGCGAGGTGTTCCATGCTTTCATTTCCTTGCTTTCTTGGATTCTTTTCTCCCCATCCTACTAACTTTGGCATTTCTTCTAGACTGATACCGGGCATCGTTTTATTGGAAGCCCCAGACACTCCCTCACAAAAGCCCTGATGGGTTGTCAAAACGAAGGCTCCCAGCTCCTGTTCTTAGAGGTGGGGGCTGAGTAGGGAAACTGACCTGAAGGATGGAATATTGTGGGTTGTCAGCAGAGTAATTGCCTCTGACTCTGTCTCTCCCACAGCAAGTAGGGACTTTCTTGCTTTTCTATTTGTATCCCCAGCACTTAGCTTGGTGCTTTGAACATAGTAACCAATTAATAAATGCTCATTCATTCATGCGCTTACCCTGGTGGCAGGCATGTTCTCAATTCTGTTTTGTTTTTGTCTTTGTTATTGTTTTGTTTTTCTTTTCTTTTTTAGGAAAGAGAAGATCATGAAAAGTATCTAATGTATCTAAGGCGCTAAAGTTTATGTTTTTATTAATTATTTTATTCAAAGCAGATGCAATGGATCTCTTTTTTTTTGTTTTGTTTTTTGTTTTGCTTTTGTTTTTTTTTTTTTCTGAGGCAGTTGGGGTTAAGTGACTTACCAGGGTCACACGGCTAGTATGTGTCAAGTGTCTGAGGTTAAAGTTTATGTTTTTAAGCTTTGGAAGAAAAAGAATTTCAGACTACCTGTTTTATACTCAGGAACACAGGGGAATGGAGTACCTAAGCAGATTAAGCTTCCCATTTTAGGAGTGAGGGGAGTTAGGGTACAGCCTATTGCTTTCTAAAAGAGGTTGAATGGTTTAGGGGAAAGAGTACTGGACTTGGAAAGCATTTTTTTTTAGGTGCCTACCATGTGCCAGGCACTGTGCTAAACGCTGGGGATACACAGAAAGGCAAAAAGACAGTCTTTGCTCTTAAGAAGCTCAGTCTCTGGATCTGTTATGTAAAAAGGAAACTCTAAACTTCAGTTTACTCATCTATAAGATGGGAGTGACTTTGTTCCGCCTAACTAACTGGGGGCGGGGGGCATTGTGAGCCAAGTGTTTTAAGTGTTGCATGAATGTGAGGTATTATTCCTGCCCCCAGCATTCCCCACCCTTTCACTGGAGGTAGCCTTGGCGTACTACTGCATCTGGCCATTGCTGTAGAGTTGTCTCGATGACACGACGCATCCTCTTTCCAGCTGTGACCAATCCTTGCTCTACGTTCCATTCCCCTTGAATGCCCAACGAGCCAGAGACCCTCTGGCCGACAGGTGGCGCTGTCCTTAAGGGGTCGCTAGTTTAGGGCCGGCACCGTGAGTTTGTCCCAGCCGCCGCTCCGTAGATTCCTCGTCTCTATCCCTCCACTTCCCCCGGGCTTCTCGCGCGCGTGCGTGCTGGGGTAGGCGAGTTGCTGCTGCACTGGCCGGAAAAAAAATCATGTCCTTCTTTCGGTCGCTGCGCCTTTTTCAGCACTTGGGGCCCCGGAGCCGGCCGGTAAGGGGATGTAGTGGCGGAGCTCGAGTCCTCCCTGGAGCCCGGGGCGGCCCAGCTCTCTTCCCCGCCTCCTCCTTCGCACGTCTCCTCTGCTCCCCAGGCTGCGTTCTTCTGGTCCCCGCCTCATCTCCAGCCTCTCCCGCAGGCTGCTCGCCCCCTGCCTCCTCCTCACCTCCAGCCTCCCTTCCCCCCCCCAGGCTGCTCGCCCCCCCTGCTCCCTCCCCACTTTCAGCCTTCCCTCCCCCCACCTCGGCTGCTTTCCCCCGCCCTCTCCTCGCCACCTTCCCCTCCCCCAGGCTGCTCCCCCCTGCTTTTCCTCGTTGCCTTCTCTCCTCCTGCCTCCCCTCCTCTTTTCTCACCTCCCTCCCACTGCCCCCCCTCACCTCATGCCTGTCCCCCCCCAGGTGCCCCTGGGGTCCCGCCCCTTCCACGCGGGAGGCGTGGGGTCCGAGGCTTCGTCCAGCAAGGAGCACCTGAAGAAACTGAGGCGTAAGACTGGCTACTCCTTCACCAACTGCAAGAAAGCGCTGGACGCTTGTGGTGGCGATCTGGCCCAGGTGAGGGAGGCCTGGAGCTGTCCCCTCCTCTGAGGACCGGGAAGGAAACTGAGGCCCCGTTAATTGAACTTCAACTGACATCCACTTACATGGACACTTAGATGGAGTTAAGTTGATTTGTTCAAGGTCACACAGATAGGAAGAGGCCAGGCTGGATCTGAACTCGGGTCCTCTAATTCCGGAGAAGAGGTTCTTAACTTGTTTTGACCCCTGTGACTGTCCTGTGAATTTATTGGGTTGTAAGCTCCTTGAGGGCAGGGACTGTCTTTCCTCTCCTTATGTACCCCCGTTGCTTAGTGTAGTGCCTGACACATAGCTTGATAAATGCTTATTGAATGAATGAAAGGTTAAGCCAGTGGACCCCTTCTCAGATGAATGTTTTTAAATGCATGAAGTAAAATACGTAAGATTCTAAAGGAACTTAATTGTATTTTGTCAACATTTTGAAAGTTTAAGAACTGTAGGTTAAAGATCTCTTGTACCCTTGTTTTCACCTTAATGGTGTTTAATCAGGATTTAAGCTAATTTAACAAATGGATTTGTTTTACAGCAAAAGTGTCATTGAATCATAACTCTCATTCATTCAATCAGGCAGTTAGTCAACATTTATTAAGTAGCTACTATGTTCTGGGCACTGTGCTGGTATTCACATCAGGGAGACAACTACAGTAAAAACTGTAAGAGCTAACACGTATATAGCACTCTGAAGTGTGCAAAGGGTTTTATACACATTACCTCATTTGAACCTTACAACAATCCTGAGAGGTATAAAGGAGGAAACTAAGGTTGTGACTTGACTGGTTCACCCAGTAAGGGATTAAGGGCAGGATTTAAGTGATCTTCCTGACTCCAAATCTAATGCTTTATTCACTATAAGAGGCAAAACCTATGCTGCCTTAGTTTGGGAGGAATTGAGTTCAGGACTACTGCTAGTCCCACATTTCCTAGGAGGAAGACACCCTTGTGCCTCTCAAGTGGTAAATTCTTTTGGGATGTGGTAGGAGGAAGCTTGAACTTGGACTCACATACTCTTAATGTACATGTCTTGATGGTCAGCTGTAGAAGACTCATTTAACTTCCCTGATCCTGTTTTCTCATCTGCAAAATGATCATAATACATACTTTTCTTGTGTGCAGTGGGGAGGAAGGGGGGGTGTAGGGAAACACCTTTATTTTTAACATTCATTCAAAAAGTTTTTTTGAGCTCCACATTCCCTGCCTTCAGCCCCGGGTGCCCCCCCACCAGCCACCTATTGAGAAGGGCAATCATTATATCAATTATACATATGAAGTCATGCATAATGTATTTCTGTATTGGCCAAATACATGCTTTTCTCTAAGTTTGTAAAGCAGATAATACAGGATGGTACTATATAATAAATATCATTTGCTATTATTCTGAATATTTTGCCTTAGCTGTTACAGAGCTGTAACTGTATTCAGCTATTTAGAAGCAGGAAACGAAGCCCCTTTGTCTCAGAGACCCATTGTTACAAGACTTGTTTTTTGTCTTACACTCCAGATTAGCATTTTATTAAATGATTTGGGGTTCAGAGGAAGCAGAAATTGAAGACAGGGAAACATTTAGAATCTTGCAGCTCCAGAATTCTATGTCTGAAATGCTGTTTTTCTGTTTGTTTTCTCCTATAATGTGCAGGCAGAAGCTTGGCTACATAAGCAGGCCCAGAAGGAAGGATGGAGCAAAGCTACTAAACTTCAGGGAAGAAAAACTAAGGAAGGGCTGATTGGATTGTTACGAGAAGGCAATTCAGCTGTAATGGTGGAGGTGAGTCCCTCCCTCACATGTAGCAGTTTCCAGGAATAGTTGTTAGTCCTCAACTATTTTACCATACTTGTACTAGATATTTTGGATGGAAAAAATGATAAACTCTAGAAGAGCTGTTTAAAATATAATGAAACTGAGTAGGCAGTGTAATCAAAAGTAATCAGTAGACATGGTCTCAGTGATAGATCATTTTATATGAAAATACACAAAGGAGTGTCGAAGAGAGGCCCATCTTGTTTCTCTCATTCTATTTTGTACCTCTCCCATGCACTTTTATTCTAATTTGTGTTTGTCTCTTCACCTCTGAGAGGCAGTATTGTGTAATAGAGAGCTAGTCTTGGAGCCATGAGGGGGGAATTCAGGTCCCACTTCTGACTCAGACTGGCTTTGTGATCTTGGACAACTTGCTTGAGACAGTAAGTTGCAGAGAAGATGTTGGCCTGCTTACGTGGAGGGAATTTCTCACTTGGGAGTTCCATGTGCCAGGGAAATCATAGGTCTAGTCTCTTTTCCTAGCCCTCATTTCCTCTGTTGCCTAGGGTGTAAGTCCTTGAGTGAAGACACATGATTAACTTCATCTTTATATTCCTGGTATTAAGGGTAATTCCTTGCCCATAACTTCAGTGTTCCACACCTTTACCTTCATCATTGTTGCTGTCCTTCTCCTGATGCTAGACACAGCTTCTCTGTAACTTAGCAAATTGTGTTTGGGACATGTTTCAGCTAAAAAATTCATTGCCCTTCAGCCAGTCTGGTCCAAATTTAGCTAGTTTGGTCCTTGGACAACAGACAAATAACAGACGTCTCTGGCCTGGACTTGAAACCTTTCCAGCTTGGTAGGACCTTGCAGAGCTTTTCTCCCACTGGCACAGCCTTCAAGATCTTAGCGTTACTTCCATGCCACATTCTGATTAGGACTTTAGTGGTTTTCACGTACTTAGCAGGTGCTTCTTAAATGTTTGAATGGTTAATTTCAAGGTAGATAGGAATCTTGTTTGTCTAATCTTGAAGGGTGTCCTGAAGAGGTTAGAAATTTTGTAGATTAGCTGGTGGAGAGAGGTAATAGACATGGAAAGTAGTTTAGGTGTCATTGTGGATAAAGGATCAGAAAAAGAGAAAGGAGTGGACAAATTAGCTAATAGTCTAGAACAGAGGACAGGAAATGCAATTAAGGGGAGAAGGTCCAGGTTGGTAATAAACCCACAGTTAAGGCATCACTGGCAATGTTCTGAAAAGACCTTCTAAACTGGCATATGTTGCATAATCCATCCTGGCAAAAGACACTTTTCTGGTCTTCTACTGGCGAAATTAATAATGGCAGTTTGAAAGATGCAATTATGTCTGAAACACAACCTAGCCTTACTTTGGGTTGTACTAAATAAACCTTTCTCTTTTTTATGAGTTTGCCACTAAACCATTGTTTACATCATGAATTTTTGCCCACAGGTGAACTGTGAGACAGATTTTGTTTCTAGAAATTTAAAATTTCAACAACTGGTCCAACAAGTGGCCCTTGGAACCATGCTGTACTGTCAGAGTGTGAGGGAACAGCTCTCCACATACAGCAAGGTGAGTTTGGGTATAGAGTCCACCGGAGCACACAGCTCAACCCAGACTCTGCCTCTGAAATGACAAGAGAAAGGCATTACAAGATGGTCAGACTAGAAAAGACACAATTTTAGTATGTTTTTGTCCAGCTGACAAAACAATTACCCACACCACTTTTTTGTCCCTCAGATTGTCTCATGAGCAGAGACACGGAATAAAATGTTATTTAATGGAATCTAAAAACATTTACTTTATGTAGAGAATGGTGGGATTTCATAAGACTGTGTAGCATAGGCAGAAGAATGTGAACCAAGAGTCAGGTATGGCCGAACTCCACCTCTCTTGGCACGTTTCCTTTTATAAAATGGTGGGATTGACCTAAGTGATTTTTGAGGTCCTTTTGAACTCTGAAAATAGCTAGAATCCTCCCTGAGAGGCAGAGTTCATATTCTAAAGGGACTGGCATTAGTGGTGGAATAGGATGTATATAAAAAATGTTATAAATGTCTAATATTACCAATATAACAGAGAAAATGGTATTAGTATAAATTTACACTTAACAAAGCTTAAGTTGCTTTATTTGGAAGAGATTAGTGTTGTTCAGGTAAGCTTGGTGTTATGCAAATTGATCTTTCTTTCCTTTCTGTGTTTATTCAGGGTTTTCTAGAGACAGCTGAGCTCTCTCAGCTTAGAGCTGGACCTAACAGAGAAGACTCTCTCAAGGACCAGTTGACATTATTTATTGGTGAGTACTAGCAGGAGACCCTAGACCGAAGCTGAGAATAGAAATCAAGAAGTGGTTCCTACTAGGCAGGCTTATTTTTTAAAAATCTGATGATAAGGGTAGCTAGGTGGCACAGTGGATAAGGCACCCAGCCCTGGAGTCAGGAGGACTTGAGTTCAAATCTGGCCTCAGACACTTGACACTTACTAGCTGTGACCCTGGGCAAGTCATTTAACCCCATTGCTTAGCCAAAAAAACCCCCAAAAGTCTGATGATAATTTCTCAAAGCACCAAAATCATAGTAATAGGAGTAGGATTATAAGCTATTCAGGCTTCTACACATGTGAATCCATAGGCATTTGACTGTCTAGTTGTTTGGGCATCATGTTTCTTTTCAAGGAAAGACTGATTGGTTAGGGAGTTGTGGGAACCTTTCTAGTGAACTTGCCCGAAGTGGATTGCTGTGGTGGTGAGGGGAATTTTGATTTAACTTGCATTCCCCTTGTGGGGAGTAGGGGGAGGGGGAGGATGGTTGTGGGATGCTGGAAACCAGGGGCTCCTCTAAAGTTCCTGACAATGAGGATGGTCCTTTTTACCAGATCATCTCACACTGTCTGCAAACTATTAGTGACTCATAGATGAAGAACCAGGTTACAAAGAAGTATAGGGGGTTTGTTAAGTAATTTTGGAAGAATCTGGGTGTTTTAGCCTTGGTTTTTTTCTGGGGAATTACTGTAACTATTAAGATTTCTTGAATTGTTTTCAAAATTAGTTTTCATTTCTGGATATCTTTTTTTTTGGACATCTCTTTTTTATACCGTTAAGATATAACTGTCTGGGGTATATATTTATGTATGTTTCTGTTCCCTTGAGTAAATCAGAGCTAATTATTTACATCTCTTTACTGTTCCATCCTCTTCTCCCCTGCCCGTTTGGCTCTTTTGTTTCTTCTTTAGATGGTAGTACTGATAAAAAGGGAAACTCCAGGTAAATTTTGCTGCTTGTGAATAACTCTGGGAAAAAGTATTTTTTTGTGGGAGAATACATATTTAAACTGTTGGGTAAAATGAAGTTTGGGATTTTTGCTCTGCCCTGTCATATCACTTTGAGATTTTGTCTGTCTAAAGTGGCATATCTGTTCATATTTTTTAAAAAAATTATTTATTTTTGACATACATTTTTGAAAATTTTGAGTTCCAAATTCTCTCCCTCCAGCTCCTCCCCTGCCCATTGAGGAGACAAGCAATATGATACCTAATATACATGTGAAGTCATGTAAAACATATTTCCATATTAGCCATGTTGCCAAAAAAAAAGGCAAGAAAAATAAAGTGGGAAAAAATCCATGTCATGCTGCATTCAGAGTTCGTTAGTTCTCTCTCTGAAGATAGCATTTTTCATTGTTGGTCTTTTGGAATTGTCTGGGATCATTGTATTGATCAGAATAGCTAAGTCTTTCACAATTGATCATTGTTAAAATATTGCTGTTATTGTGTATAATATTCTCCTGTCTTTTCTTCCTTCACATTGCAACAGTTCATATAAGTCTTGCCAGTTTTTCTGTGGCATATCCATTCAGTTAATATTTACTAAGTTCCTACTCTGAACAAAGCTCTGACTATGCTAGAAAAGCCAAGACCGAAAAGAAATTGTTCTTGCTCTTAAGGGGCTTATGTTCTACTGGGGGACATGAAATATGTACACGTATAAGTAAACACAAAGTACATGGTTATGAACTTCATTTAAAAATTTTTTAAAAATTGTACGTGAATGCTATTTGTTCTTTTGTCATAGTCATTTGAAAACTGTTCCTTCAGATCATCATCTGTTCTTTAGGCTATTCATTAGTTTTTTAGTTATTCACAATTTGACATCCTTTTGGGGATTTTTTTGTTTGTTTACCTGGTTGTATGTTTATTCTTTTGGTTCTGCTTACTTTGCTCTGTGTCTGTTCGTTCATATCTTTCCATGATTCTCTTGAGTTCCTCATATTTAACATTTTTAACTGCACAACATTTCCCCATTACTTTTATATAGCCTAGATTTTTCAGTCAGTCACAAATGTTGTGCACCATCTTTGTTTCAAGTTCTTTGCTACTGCAGAGATTGCTGGTGTGAATATTTGGTTGTATAATCATTTATTTAACAATTATTAGACTTTTTGTTGGGGTCTATATCTAGGATTGTGTTCACTGTATCAAAGGGTAAGGACAGTTTAGTTATTTTTCTTGCAGAGTTTCAAATTTATGTCCAAAATGTTTAGATCACTTCATAACTACCAGCAGTGGATCAGTGTACCTGTATTAGACCCACAGGCTCCCCAACATTTACTGTTTCCCCTCTTTTGTTATTTTTGTCAATTTGTATAGTGTAAGGTGAAATTTTGGTTATTTTCATTTGCTTTTCTTTTGCTGTTAGTGATTTGCAGCATATTTTCATATGTTCATCTATTGTTTGTAGTTCTTGTGCGAGTTGTTTCTATCTTTTGGCCACTTATCTTACTAGACAAGGCAGGAATCACCAGATTATGGCCTGCAGGCCAAATCAGCACCCACTCCCTGCCCCCTGAGCCAGAGAGCCAAGAACATTTTAAAATACAACACAAATATATAATACAATAAAACATTCTTTAAAAAACATAAAAACTGTCCTTGGCTAGCTGGCTGTACAGAAATGGGGCGGGCTAGATTTTGCCAATGGGCTGCAATTTGTTAACACCTGTATTAGGGAATTGCTTTTGTTATTATGTATTTGTGTCACTTCCCTATATATTTTGGTTATGACTCTTAGGTAATATTTATACATGTATTTTCCCTATTCCATTGTTTCTTTTCTAATTCTTCATTAATTTTATTTGTTCAGAACCTTTTAAATTTTATGTAGTAAAAATTGTCTATTGTCTTTTATGATAATCTTGACTATCTTTTGTTTAATTAAGAATTCTTCTTCCTTTAACCATAGTTTTGAAAATATCTTATCTTATTTTCTCCCATTCCAAGTTATTTCAAGAGGAGAAGAGCAATAATGCCAATGGGGAGGGGGGAGATTAGGAGTGGCAGGAAAGACCTTCTATCAATAGTACTATTTGAATTGGGCTTTAAGATTTTTTTTTTAATTAAGAACTCAACAATCTTCAACATGAACATATCCACGTAAAAAGAGGAAAAGGAAAACTGTATGAAACTGACTCTTAATTATATAGTTATTTTTTAAGTATCTGTTATATTTAACATGGTAGTACACTGACTCAGTTATCTTTTTTTTTCCTTCCTGCTGCTCTGTTCTGTGTATTTTAAAAATGTTTAATTGATAATCTCTTTTTTTGCATCATTATCACTCTTCTTCCCCCCCAACAACTCCCTTTTCTCCATGAAATCCCTTCCTTATAAGAAATAAGTATAAACAAGCAAGAAAAATTCCCACATTGGGCATATCCGAAAATTTTATGTCTCATTCAACACCCCTGGTCCATTGCCTCTCTGCTAAGAGGGGAAGCTAGTATCCTTAATCTTCTGGTGTTGTTATTGGTGCTTGCATTAATCAGGGTTCTTAGTGTTTCCAGGTTGTTTTCCTTTATGGTGTCATAATCATTGTATAAATTATTCCCCTGCTCTGTTTATTTCACTGAGCATCAGTTCTTATAATTCTTTTTCAGATTTCTCTAAATATGCACCTTTTGGCATTTCTGTTAATGCACAATATTCTATTACATTCACGTACTATCATTTGTTCAGGCATTCTCCAATTAATGAGCTTCCACCTCGTTTCCAGCTCTTTACAACCACAAAAATGCTTCTATAAATATTTTTGTAGCTATGTGTTCTTTCCCTTTCTTTGATCTCTTTGAAGTATATGTATAGTAATGATATCTCTAGGTCAGAAGTCATAGTTTAGTTCCATATTGCTTTCCAGAATGGTATGACCAATTCCAGTTCCCCCAACACTGTTGTGTGCCTGTTTTGTAGCTCCATTAACAATTGTCTTTCCTTTTTTGTCATTTTTCATTAATCTGATAGAGGTGAGATGGTACACTGAGTTGCTCTAATCTACTTATATTTAGATATAGTTGTTGCTTGCTTATATTTCTTATTTTGAGAATTATTACTTTCTTATGACTGACCTACCTTTTATGGGTCATTATTACATATTTGTATTAGTTCTTTATGTTTTAGATATCAGACCTTTATTAGAGAAATTTGTTACAAAGATTTTGCCCCAGCCAACTGCTTCCCTTCTAATTCTCACTGTATTGATTTTGCGTAAAATCTCTTTAGTTTTATGTCATCAAAGTTGCCCATTTTATCTCCGTTGATCAATCTTCTATTTTTTGGTGAAAATTTCTCCTAGCTATAGTTGTGAAAGGTGCCTGGTCTCATTCTCTCTTGTTAATGATGTACTGTTACACCAAAGGTGATTTCAAGAGGGAAAGAGCCCCATTAGTGTAGGGGAGGGTGGTAATTTCAGAAAAGACTTAGAGAAGGCCAAGGATTCTTCTAGACAGAAGTAAGGGGAGCACATTCCAGGCATGGATGGCCATCTGTGCAAAACATGCAGAGACAGCTTCTGTGCACATGATGATTATGATAGCTCTGCTCAAGTTTTGTTTTTCTGCAGGCAAACTGGGAGAAAACTTGACTCTTAAGCGAGCTGCATGGGTGACTGTACCAAATGGATTCTACATTGGTTCCTATGTACATGGAGCAGTGCACAGTCCCTCCCTTGGTAACATGGTGCTTGGGAAATATGGCGCACTAGTCATCTGCCAGACATCTGAAGAGAAATCCAATCTTGAAGACCTTGGCCGACGGCTTGGTCAGCACGTTGTAGGAATGGCTCCTTTGTCTGTAGGCTCAATGGAAGATGAGCCTGGTGGAGAAGAGGAAACAAAGATGCTCGCCCAGCCTTATTTGCTGGACCCTAGCATCACGTTGGGACAGTATGTAAAGCCCCAGGGTGTGTCTGTGGTAGATTTTTTGAGGTTTGAATGTGGAGAAGATTCAGGGGCAGCAAAAACAGAATAGATTCTGCAGACATTCTGGACCTTAAAATATTATTAACTGAGCCACTCGATGTCTTGAGGGGGTTGGTTTGATCATTGGTTCAGCAATACATGTGAGCTGTTTCTCTCTGGGTTTATGGTAAAACTGAAAAGGTAATTCAATGCAGTAGCTCTAAATAAAGATGCTTTCCTCCTTATAGAATCTCGCCGTCTTCCTTGTTTTAAAAGTTGTGGGTTTAGCTTTTTATGTCATGAATTTGACTCACTGTGTCGGTGACAGCCCCTGACTGAGCCTGTTAAAGAGCAAGTCACTTTATTGGGAATGTGTGAGGCCTTTTGACTTGGAGTTGCTTATCTTGTGTATTCAGTGAAATCATGACCTGTGTGTTTTAATTCTGCTTTTCCCCCTGGTCATTCCCATTCATTTTAGCTCCAGTAAATGGCTCCAAGCAAATTTAAATAGTAAATATCTTAGAGAAACCTCACCAGAAGTATCCCAAGGACACTGAGACGCTCTTTCTCCTTCACCCCATTAAATCTGTTCACCTAAGCTCAGGTAACTTTTTATGGGCTGCCGGAGCCCTCTCCTTCCACCCATAATTATCCTAATTCACCTCCACTAACATAACTGCCCTTGTGCATGGCAGTATACTAGGTGCTTAGGATACAGAGACAAAAAGAGGAAACTATCCCTGAATTAAGAGAGCTTTTGCTGGGGGAGGGAGTTGAGGTGGGGTGTATGGAGTACACTTTGGGCCAAGATGACCAAAGCTATAGTGAATACACATGAAGTAGCATCACAACTGTACCAACAGCTAGGGACTGTAGGGACTCAGGAAAGCCTTCTTGTAGTAGATGGTACCCTGAGTTAAGCCTTGAAGGAATCTAGGGATTCTAAGTGGCAGAGGTGGGGATGGAGATCGCAGTACCTTTTCTTCTCTGATTGTCAGATTCAGAAAAACCTTAAAAGACTTGTGTGAACCAGTGTGGAGTGAAGTAAGCAGAACAAGAGGACAAGTTGTACAATGATTATTGTAAAGGAAAACAACTCTGAAAATCTGGGAAAAGACAGAGAGATGGGAGATAGCACATCAAATTAGGAGAATAGCTAGTAGGCCAGTTTAGTTTAAAGAAACTTTATGTTTTTGGAGTAGTACTATAAAATAAATTTGGAAAGGTGGGTGGGAGCCTGATGGGATCTTCAATGACCAGCAGACCTTTTTGTATTTTATCCTTAGAGATGAAAGGCAATTTGAGTAGAGGTGTGATGTAAATTAGATATGTGTTTTGGGAAAAGCAATTTGGCAGCTGTGTCAAGGACACATGGGAGAACAATTTTGCTACCTTTGTTTATAATTTGCATCAGCCTCTAAGGTTACAGATTTAGGTATTTGTAGAAGTTATGTCATAAGAAACTAATGAAAATGTAATTTGTGTTAAACTTAGGACTCCTTTCCATCTGAAACTGATTCAAAATACAGAGTTCACTGGAAAATGTGGCTCATTTGTGGATGTTTATGGCATACTTTGAAGATAAGTCTCTAGTGGTCCACATACCCATGTGGTGTTGGACTTGTTACTGAAATGAACACCAAATGGTTTCTTTCTTGCTTGAATCTTTTGGCATGACCAAGATGTTTTTGTTTCTTAGTTATTGGACAAACTTTGTTCTATTACTATAGATACTGCTCTATTCTCATTTCCACTCTCCCAAACTTCCCAGTACAAAAACTTTCCACAGATGTGAAATTCATGCAGTACTTGTTGTATGAGCAATTGAGGATGTTGATATCATTCCCTCTTACAGAGGGGCCTTGATTTGAAAAGATGTCTGGGACCTACCAGGAGGTGTATGAAAACTGCCTACAGATTTCAGTGACTTGTGAATTCTTTTTTTTGGGGGGGGGTATTAATGATCTTGATATCTAAACCTTATGTCTGAACACCAACATTAAACCATTGTCCTTATGATAATTTTTTAGGATTGGCAAGTTATGTGTGAACTACCTAACTTAATGTCTTTGTTTTTCTGCTCTGGTTTCTCTAAATTCATGCAGATCATGCAAGTCAGAACAGATAATTATTATATGTATTTAAACAACTAAATAATGGCAAAGATTCATTCTAGCTAACATGCTGCACTTTGCAAAACTCTCTTGCTTCTCTAAGTAGCCAAGTATATTGTGCTAGACAGACAAATTCTTCCCTCGTAATTGGCACTATCTATTCTCTAGTATTGCCGCAGATAGGCATTTGCTTCCATTCTTTAAAAAAGCCCCTTTTCTTTCTTCAGGTTGAGCTGTTTCCAGCCAGGTAATGCGGCAAATTTTCCTCTTGGGATGCCAAATACAGCAACAAAGTCTTCATCAGAGAGGTAATTCTAGGAGAGATAAAACAGAACATTTCTAACTAGAGGTTCTGGAGGATCAGGCATATGTTAGTGTAGAAGGAAAGTATTTTGCTTGAATAACATATCTCCTTTATAAGTGCTGGAGGGAGAAAGATGACAATTTATGCCCTTAAGCTTGGGGGAAAAAATTGAGACTTTTTTTATCTTTTTGGTGTAAATGGTTAGCAATCTGGGATCATATTTTTGGACTGAAGAAGTAGGCATAGTGTGGAATATTGTCTCATTGAGCAGAATGGTGAGTTTTGTGCCAATTACATGTGTGTGTATGTATGCGTGTATATATATATATGTATATATAACTATAAAATGGGTTATAAATGATATATGAGCCACAAACATTGGATAAAGTGGAGAAAACATAATTCTAATACGCTTCCAGTCTAATTTGAGTTCTCCAGCTTCTTTAAAGAAGTTGATTACAATTCACTGGCAGTGTGACTCAGGGCAAGTCACTTAACCCCAGTTGCCTCATCTCCCCCCCGTCCCCCCCAAAAAAGGAAGCTGGTTACAAGATCGTATGCATTATAGGAATTCCAGTTTAGAGGTTCTTCTCAATTAAAGATACTCAGTAGGAATAACCAGACTACAGAGAGCAGGACCTTTTTGTACCTGAAAGAAAATCCTGTACTGACCTCTTTTTTGGCAGGGTCTACATCCTCAGGTAGCTCATGTTGCTGATTTTTCAGCAGCACTTCTATAGGGTAGTATTTTTGTTCAGTGCCACCAGCATTCAGAGAGAGGGAAGTACCATTCATGTCCTAGAAAGAGAGATTTGCATGTGTTTACAGTAAAGGATTGTGCAGAGCAGCCAGCTTTCCAGTTGCCCCAACAACCATGCTCTCCTGTTGTTAACCCCTCCCCTGGAAGATCACATTATCTGCTAAATTTTAGAGCTGGGGAGTTTTTCATGCATGCAGGGATTTTAAATCTCATCTAAATACTGGTATTACTTCATTTGCTGTGGCACTTTGACTCGTGTCCATACTGTTTCCGTATGGTTTAATCTACTCAGAGAACAGCATATTCCTGCGTGCTGTGTGTAACTGTTACAGTGTGCTGTTTTCATGATCAGGACATCATACCTGAAAGTCATTGCCTCGGTGACGGTGTTTGTTCACGTTTGTAAAGCAGAGTGCTAGGCAGTTTGAATAATTTTTAAATGGAGTGTCTGGTAACATGAGTTTGAGAACTGGGGAGGGTAAAAGATAGGGGGGCAGACTATTTACTTCTGAAAACACATAGCCTGACAGTTAAAATATTAGTGGCAAATCATTCCACCCTGTTGGTGGTCTTTTATCCTTTTAAACGGATATAAGTAACTTAGGGTGTTAGTTGGATTATACAACAAAAGCTGCTAGGGGGCCCAGTGGATAGATCACTGGACCTGGAGTAAGGAAGGCCTGAGATCAAATCCAGCCTCAACACTTAACAAGCTGTTACCCTGGGCAAGTCACTTAGCCTTGTCAGCCTCAGTTTCCTCATCTGCAAAAAAGGAACCCTGTCTCCCAGGGTTGTTGTAAAGGTAAAATATTTGTAAAAGCCTCTTGTAAACCTTAAAGTGCTATGTAATTGCTAGCTATTAAAAAAAAAAACAACTAATGAAAATGTTATTTCTGGTAGAAATGGACTGGCCTAGACTGGCTTTGAGCCATTTTCCCTTTATGATATCTTTGAGAATAAGTCCAACTCACAGTAGTGATTCTCACAATTGCAGCAGTGTCTCCCAGTTCTTCCTTTAACTGTTCATATGATTTGCCTTCCTGTGGGAATATAGAACACACAGGGTGAGGTTGTAAGGAAAGGTCATTTGTCACCCAGAACATATTCTTTCAGAGACAGCACATGGGTCAGAGGAGGAGAATCCTTATTTTCATCCATTTGCAGGGAAAGATTTTGCTTAACATGATTTCCATTTCATTAGTATAGAAATAGCATTCAACATAAGGAAATTAGTTGTTTTGTAAGTAACTTGTAAGCATATATAGAGCCTGCCCTTGGGAATATACTGGTTGCTGTGATAGATAAGAAGTAGGATAGAAACCAATGACCACATCCTCCCAGGAGATTCTCAGTAGCTCTCTTGTTCATTTGCTTCCTTGCTGCTTACACTCCAGATATGAGGGTCCCAGGCCAAGAACCAGCCTGTAAAGATGGGTGGCTCAAACCCTTGTTTGATAATCAGGATGGGTGTGTCAGTCTCCCGGCCACTGGGGTGAGTGTGTAGGTACTCCTGGGCTGAAGTGAAGGCTCCCTCTTTTTCTGTGGCATTAGCTTCAGCACCAATCCATAAGAATACCTGTGGTGTTAAAGATTTAATATTTTATGTTTTAGATGGTGGCATAAATAGTGATTGGCCTTGAGGTCAGAATGACTTTATTTTAGCTAATGACCCTAGGTAAGTCACTAGACCTCTTGGTATCCCAGGTAACTTTCTAAGACTATAAGTTACAGACAGTTGCCTGTTTATACTGGTGGAAGAAATTTCCGTCATGGATGGAATTCACAGGTCTGGATCAAAATATATATATAATATGTATTATGTAATACAGGTTTATAACTGGATGGTCCCTTAGAGGTTATGAAGTCCAAAACCCTCATTTTACAAATAAGGCAGTAAGTTTTCGCAGAAGTGGAATTTTAACTTGGATCCTCTATCACCAAATCCATAGGTCTTTCCATCGTATTATACTACTTCTTAAATCTGTATGACATAGGCCTTTTTCCAGGAGTTCGTATCCTTGGGAAACTTTTCCTCACATGGATTACTTATCAAAGAGTCTGTTGGGTAGCTATGTTTTACAGATGAAATAAATTGAATGAAGAGGAATGGTGGGCTGCCTTTGAAGACTGACTTTATGACTACTCTCTAGCTCGTCCTTCTCTCTCTTTTTTTTTTTTTTAAATTTTAGGGCTTGCTGTTAATTTTAGTGGAAAAAAAGTTCTTTCTGTAAGATAACTTTTGTAGAGCAACCTGTAAAAATTACCGTATTTGCTAGGATATTAGGCTGAGTTTCCAGGCATGTTACTGCTCTCTGTCACCTTAGAAGAATACAAAAAGGGCAGCTTATCCCATTGACTATGGCAATTGACCTGTTGTCCTTTGAAGTGGTTTATTCCTGACTTGTGGGCAGACGAGCCAGAGTGTATGAATCTTTGTCATCTGTTCTGGGCCCTATAGATGCTGCTTACCTGGTCCCAGGTATCCAGGAGCATCACATCACTTGGGTTCAGGTCATCCTGTATGAAATCTGTGATCTCAGTGATAATGAAACGACCAGTCTTATTGGAACACTCAAAGAGACGGGGTTGGACATCAAGGATTTCCTGTTGAAGTCTGCAAGGTAAAGTCCATTATATGAAAACAAGCTTACTTGAAAAGTAATTTTGGAGCTTTATGGGACCTAAAATATCATATAATCTCAATATGATGAGCTATTTGTTAGTCCTGCATGTTTAGTATAAGAGTTGAAGGGTGATAATTCTGTCCTCAGATTCACCTTTTGTCATTGGCATAAGGTACTTTCCCTCCTAGTGAGTCCCAAAATGCTGCTGGCTCCTGTCCTTCAGCCACGGTGTCCTCAGTGCCATCACAGAGCACTCCAGCTAATTCCTTTGCCATTGCTCGCTCATCACCACTGGAACCCTGGGGTTAGAATGAAAATAGGAGAACCTTAGCCTACCCTGGGCTGCTTGTAGAATAAGAAACTTATGGGACTTAACATATATAGGCTAGGTATTGAGCCATAACCACCAGTGATTAGAAATATGATTATTGTTATTTGTAGTGCTTTTAAAGAGAGAGAATTGAATATGGAGGTTATTCTGTTTTAGTTAGGGAAAGGAAGGAATATAGACAGTTCTCATTTTACATAAATTCACATTACGCAAATTTGGCTTTATGTAAAAAATTCTGAAAGAAATTTACAAAGAACACTACTGTGTTCTCTCTGATGCTGCTACTCAGTTTGGCATTCTGTGGCCTCCCCACCACCACCAATAAAACCCCCTCCAAGTGAAAGTAGAAGAATGGATGCTCAGAGAGACTACCACTATGGCCATGGCAGGATTAGGGGCTTGACTTGAGACTGAGACCCTTGCCCTGCTCTGCTCACCTGCCTGTGTGTCTGGCCTCACCATGTCTGTCTTCCATCTGTCAGTGCTCAGGTACTGGATGTTTGTCCTTGGCTGCTGCATGTTCCTCAAGCTCTCCATTCTCTATCCTTGGCCCCCATGTGTCCTTGAACCATGTGGTGGTCCCTTCCCTCCATGGGCACATAGCCCCTTTCCTGTTTTCCTCCTTCCCTCCTTTCCCCACATACTCAGGTAAATTCAAATTACATAACAATTGCTTTATGTAGAGGTCTGTGGAATGGTCAACTTATGTAAAGTGAGAATTATCTGTAATAGCAAGATTCTTTCATCTACAGGATAGATTGACATGCGCTATATTTGTTTCAGTTTGATTTTAGTAGCCATCATCATAGCTCTATTTTAAAGTCATTTTTAATGCTTTTGAATGAGCATGCAAATTTGAATTGGGGAATGGAAATGATTAGTTTACAATTTTATCTGTAGAGTACAAATAATTACTAAACTGTCATTGTAACTGAGATGGAAAGAGCTTCACATCCAGCTTGCATCCTAATGAAGATCACAGAACTGAGTTTGGTCTTCCCTGGTGTTTCCTTTGGCCTTACGATGTGAGGTTCTGATGAAAAGTAATTATATGAAATGCTTATGTTTCTTTTTAGGATCCCTTGGGGAAGATGGCTCTTTATTCATTGTCTGTCCTTTCCTTTGACTTTGCTATTGGGAGGGAGAAAAGAGGAAGAATGCCAGTCCATTTTACCTTTCCATACCAGAGGTAGTGTTCATTTTGTGTCCGCAGCAGAAAGACATCATTGGAATTCAGGGAAGAGGCAAATGCTGGTACCTCCACAGCTTTGGTGTTGGATTTGTCATTCCCTTGGATCTGGAATAGTCTCACAGGAGGGTCAGGTTCGGTACTTACCTTCCTGGATGTTCCACCCTATGGAGAAAAGAAAAAACTTTGAGCCTGTCAGTTCACAGTTCACTCTGGCTAGGGATGCCATAGAGAAAAAAGTAGCCTGCATTAAGAGGAACATAGAAGATCAAATGCAAATTAGCCATGGATTTAAAATATTAAAAGTTTATAGGTTGGAAACTACTTGTGAGTTCCTTAATCATTAAGTTTTTATCGAATACCTGTAGTATGTCTAGCTCTATATGAGGTACTCTTGGGGATGCACAATAATAATTTTATGTGTATGTGTGTGTTAAGTGATTTCCATTCAGCACTTTCTGAGGTATTGTAAATATTCTAATTTTATAGAAAAGGAAAGTGGAGCTCATAGAGTTTAATTGATTTCTACAGGGTCATACAGCTTGTAAATTTCAGGATTGGGAGTCAAATTCATGTCACCATCCCAAGGCCAGTACTCTTTTCTACTGTGCTTGGCTACCTATTTAAATATATTCAGTAAGAGTTCTAGCAAAATGGCAGAATGAGTGGTTGCAACCAACCCCAGGTCCCCTACTCTATCAGAAAAGTGACAAATGCACCAAATTAAATGAAAGAACAACCAAAAAAGAGGGGAAAGAAGAGACATTTTCATACGACAAACCTCACAGAAAGGAATAAAGAAAAAACACCAATACAATAAATATGTAATATGAAATAAAAGTAAGGCTAAATCTCCAAAAAGAAGGAATGTGACTACAACAGTAATATCCACACCTCCAGAAGAGGGAGTAGACATCTAACAGGAACCTTCAGAGAGGTCCAGAATCACTTTAAGATATAAGAGAAGAACTGGCATTTATAAAATTAGACCATTGGAGAGAGAATTCAAGACAGGAACACAGGAACTGACAACATAGAAAAGACAATGGAAAATTTCAGTGAGGCAGATAATTTCCAATGAGTAGTGTGGATCAGAAAGAATAAAAACATGTAGTACTGGAAGAAAAAAAAACACAGCAAAATTAAAAAATAGCAAAACTGGCGGAAAACTTCAGATCTCTATAAATCAGTACAGTAAATCCAGAAGACAGAATTTGGTGAGACAGTCTGAGAATTACTGGTCTCTAAAGAAATAGAGGTTGAATGCTATATCGAAGGAAACAAAGAACATTGCTTGGAAATATTAAAATTAAAAGGCAGAATGTAAATTGATAGAATCCACAGAACACTGACGGGAAGGAACCCCAAGTTTAACTCACCTAGAAATGTAGTTGCCAAGTTCTAGAGCTTCAGTGTTAAAGAGAATCTTGCAGATTGCCTGGAGGAAGCAGTCCACACATCAAAAAGCACCAGTTTGAGTTGTGCAAAACTACTCATTGACAGTGAGAAATGAAAGAAGAGGCTGGAATTGAATATGCTGAAAAAGAGAAATTGGCTGCAACCACAGATTACCCATATTAAAAAATTAAGGCTATACCAGCATGGGAAAGGATGATGCTTCAGTGAGGTACAAAAATGTATTTCCTGCTGACAGCCGAAATTGGATACAGTGAGTACATGAATAAGCAGCTGAAGCTAAATATGATGATTTAGTTTTGAATACAAGTAGTGAGTGAAAAATGACAGTCTTTATGAGCAGTAAGGAGGTAGTTTCTAAGTCATACTTAGGGTCATTGAAAATAAGGACTGAGGAAAGTATCCTTTGAAATGGGAATGGACAGAACTAGAACATCTGAAGGACAAAAGGGAAGGTGGAAAGAGAAATTATATTTTAAAAATTTGGGTACAACTAGTGAAGATTAAACAGAAATAGGAAGTAGAAGAGAAAGGATGATTGACAAACGACATACCTGGGGAATGATTTTTTTAAAAGATTGGAGAATACTTTTTATATAATATACTGCCAGTTCTTGCTTTACATAAATTCATATTATGAAAATTAGACTTTACATAAAGAATTCTGAAAGAAATCCACATTCCCAAAAAAACACCTTTTTTTTTTTTTTTTTAAAGGCAATTGGGGTTAAGTGACTTGCCCAGGATCGCACAGCTAGTAAGTGTCAAGTGTTTGGTCTGAGGCCGGATTTGAACTCAGGACCTCCTGACTTCAGGACCGGTGCTCTATCCACTGCACCACCTAGCTGCCCCCTAAAAAATCTATCTTAAATTTATGGTACAGTACTGTATTCCCTGGACCATGTGCCAGCCCCCTCTCTCCATGGGCATATATCCTTCCAACTTCTTCCCCCATGTCTTCGAGCAAATTCATATTATATAAAAATTGCTTTACAGACAGCTGTGGAATGGTCCACTTGAGTAAAGCAAGAACTGTCTGCAGAATAATATTGAATTATTACAAAGTGTTAGATAAGTTTTGCTATATTTAGTTACAAGTTAGTTGGGAGAGTGGTAACAATGGATGGGTTAGTGGATTAGCATAAGGAGATAAGACTTGGTTATTACACAAAATAGGCAGTATGGCACTGTGTACCCATAAAAAAAAAAAAAGCAGCGGGGTGGGGTGGGAAATAATACCAAAGAAGCTAATGGAAGGAAAATCTTAACAATACTCTTAAGTGTTAATGGGCTGATTATACCAATAAAAAGGAAACATTGCTGACTAAATTAGAAAATAAAATCTGATTAACTTGATGCTTACAGTAAACACATTTAAAGCATAGAGATTTAAGCAGAGCAAAGGATTAGAATAAAATCTGTTATTCTTCAGATGAATTTTTAAAAAAGCAATATTTGTAGTTATGATTGTGGATAAGCAATAGAAAACATATAATTTAGAGACCTAAAAATTAAGCTAAATAATTAGATAATGAAAAATATTAACATTAACTGTATATGCACTGAATACAGCAACTGAATTCTTAAAGCAAAAGCTAACAAATAACAAAAGTCCTAGAAATAAGATACTAATTTTAGAAAGCAGTAATGTTTTCTGCAAGGGCTTGAACAATCGAAAGACAGAAAAGAAGTTACAGGTTTGGACAAAATGTTAGAAAAACTGGATTTGGTAAACCTGTAGAGATTTCTGAATGGAACTTTTAAAGAATTCACTTTTCTCAGGCTCCTGTAGTATTTGCACAAAAATTGACTAAATGCTAGGGCACAAAGACCTTAGAAATGCAGACAAAAGGTAGGAATATTACATACATTGGTTACAGAGCCTTGCAAAAGAACTGAAAATGCATAACTAAATGACATCCTAAATAATGAGCAGGTCAAAGATCAAATCATGGGAACAATAAGAAAATCTTTATATGTTAAATAAAAAAGTTTATTTTTGGTCCTTGAAGCAATAAGAAGCCACCAGAGTTTGTTGGGGGTTAGGAGGTTTGACATCAGAAAATCACTGTGGTAGTTGTTTGTGGGATGGATTGGAGTGGGGAAAGATGAGGCTGGGAGACCAATTAGAACTGCTTTTTGCAACAGTCCAGGCAAGACTTTGAAAGTTACGTCTTAAATTTATTATATTTTTAAAAATAAAAGGAATCTATACACAATAGAGGTTTACAGTTTCATATATCAACCTCTTTTTCTGTTATGTATGTGGAAATACTAATTTTATTTGGTGTGTTTTTCAGAATTTTCAAGAAAGAATTAAAATAATCCAGGCAAGAAGAAATGAGAGCCAAAACCAAAGTGTTGAGTAAGTAAAGAGGAAGGCGTTGTATGAAAGAGATATTCTGGACATAGAAAGGACAAGATTTGACAACCATTGAATATCAAATTACCTAGGGAATACTTTTAGAAATAGACAAAATAATAAAATATATCTGGAAGAATAAAAGGTCAAAGATACCTAGGAAAGTTTTTAAAAATTAGAATGAAGGAATTGAACATTACCATAACTCAAATTTTAAAGCCATAATCGTCAAACTATCTGGTAATAAATAAAAATAAATTAATCAATGGAATAGTTTAGATGAGTGTGGGGTCCCGATTGGGGAAAAGCCATAAAATACAGTAATAAAGACATAATAAAGAGAAGATGTAAAAACTTAAGTTCTGTTAAAGGTAGAAGCCCCAACATGGTGACTAACCTGTTAAAAATCGTAACTTGGATACTGAATCATAACTTAGACACTGAGTCATAACTTAAGATATTCTGACCTATGAAAGCCATTACAAGAAGATTGTGACCCATATGTGACTGGTACATGATCAATACACAAACTTGTGTTTGGGCATAACATTGGCAAATAAAAAATATCCACCAATCAGTAGTGATGCACTCTCTAGCTCCTCCTCCCTTTGTTTTCTTTAATTACCATGGGAATTTTTAGGGTTCTTTTGCAGGGATCCACTGAACTGTCTGACGGCCACCCCAGAACAAAGATTGCCCCTGTTTTATAAATATTTATAATGATTGATTAAACTACTACCTACAATAAATCTGGAGATTCTTGGCCTCTTCCTTTGGTATCAAAAAGAACATCCCATGGTTATGGGGGACATACAGGATTCCCCAGCCAGGGGGATTCTGGACTTTACAATGAGCAAGTCTTAGAAATTAGTGCAGTAATAGAGTCTTTATAAAGAACACAATAAGAACACAATATTTGGGAAAGATCTCTTCAGCAAGAACCGCTGCAAAAACTGGATAGCAGTTTGATAAAAAAGAGGTTGACACTAGAATTCTACAACGGACACAACTGTAAGTTCCAGTTTGAAACTATATATTTGGGAATCCATTAAAAAGAAGAGAATGGAGAGTTAAATTGTTAACAAATATGAATAAAGGATGCCATCACATAATGTAAAAGACCAGATTGGGGCAGCAAGGTGGAGCAGGGAATAAAGCTTTGGCCTTGGAGTCAGGAGGACCTGAGTTCAAATCCAGCCTCAGACACTTACTAGCTGTGTGACCCTGGGCAAGTCAACCCTGATCACCTCACTAAAAAAAAGCAAAAAAAAAAAAAAAAAAAAAAAAAAGACCAGATAGACTACTTTGGTGATGTAAACATAAAAGCTTTTATACCAATAAAAGTAATAATTAGAATATGTTTTTTTTTTTTTTACTTAAACCAGTG